TGCTCCCGCCTTTATGCACACAACTTCGAACCCTTACTACACAACCTCCAGAGAGATCTCCAGGATTGGGATCGCACATCGTTCACGTGGCTGGGTCGCATTAACATACTGAAGATGACGGTGCTCCCTCGCGTCCTCTTCTTTCTGCAGATGATACCTATTTTCCTGCCTCATACATACTTTGTAAAACTTCGTAGTCTGTTTATCCGCTTTGTTTGGGGGGGCATAGCATATACCATTCTGCGCAGGCCTAAAGGGCCCGGGGGATTAGGCCTACCTGACATTAACCTCTACTATAAGGCTATCTCTCTCCAGAGGATTGTGAACTGGCAATTTGACGTTTCCACTAAGCTCTGGGTACAGATGGAAAAATGCATGGCAGGTCGTGATTTAGCTCCCCCTGGGTGCCTAGTGCTAGTCGTGGTCTCTCTGACCACACGTCCCCCCTGACTCATCAGACCCTCCGGCTGTGGGACAAACTGAATGCAGGAGGTCTCCTCTCACCCCTGCTGTCCCCACTATCTCCACTGGGGGGCTATCCATGGTTCCCTCCCGGGGAAGATATTTCTTTCTTCCGCTGCTGGGACCTGCAAGGAGACTTCCGCTGCCACACCCTTTGAGTCCCTATGTGCGGGATCTACATCCCCGGATCGACTGGTATCATTCTTTTATGGCCTGCTTCTGTCCACACTCACAAGTGATAGACCGAGGTTCATTGGGGACTGGGAAAGGGAGCTGGGACGGAATCTCTCAGATGATCAATGGCACTTGATATACCGATGCACGAAACCAATTATAAACTGCTGTCCCGGTGGTATCGCACTCCGCTCTACCTGAGCACCATATACCCGGGGACACCCTCACACTGTTGGAGGGGCTGTGGGCAGCCAGGGGGCTTCCTACATATATGGTGGGAATGCCCTCTAGTACGGGGATTCTGGCAAGATATTCGCACACAAATTAAACTTATCACAACGGTTGACATACCAGACGATCCCATTCATATGCTGTTCCACCTCCCTTCCACGTCTATTGGCTCGGATAGGAGGGGTGTCCTGCCCCATCTTTTGGATGCGGCAAGGAGACTCATCCCCAGATACTGGAAGCAGACAATAATGGGTGGTGCAGGTCACACTAATCCAGGAGGCAGAGGAATGGGTGGCGAAGAGCGGAAACAAACCTGACCGCTTCTACTCTAAATGGGCAGCATGGTTGCACTATGTATCTAACCCGCCTTGACGGGTGCTCTCATGAGGTTACCCAGGTAATGGGCTGATAGGTCATCCCCCAGGTCTTGGCCTTCTTTGATGGTCTCACTTTGTGAGCTACCCAATAGCACTGGATATCAGTTAGTACTGTCTTTGATACTCTGAGACAGGTTGGTGCACGATAAGCTAATACTCATGGTGGTGTCGGAGACACCACTTACTTTCCTTGAGGTCGACTTACTTTCCGTGAGGTCGAGCCTATATGACATGATGTAGCCGGGCTGAATACCCGCTTATTGTGTTATAATGTGGTTATGTATGTCATTGTATTTCTGTAACTTTTTATTTTATTTTTGATGTCGGGGTCAATGTTTGACCCACTTTTGCTCCTTGAATGTTCCTTTGTGACTGTAACTATTTGAAAAACAGCAAAATAAAGATTATACAAAAAAAAAAAAAAGAAACCATAGTTCTCACATGAGAAAGGCATTGCTGCAGTCTTCTTTTTCTACATGTATATGATGATATTGCACCCAGATATATGGAACCTTTGCCTTTTCCAGTCTGTGCACAATCCCGTAATGTTTTTTTTCCCTCCACGCGCTTCGCTATATAAGTTTCCTCAGGAGCTAAGCTCCTAAGCAGGGATTCCTCCTCTGACCGACCCTCCGGCGCTGACTGGCGAAACAGACGGGGCAGGGGGCGGGAACAGCTGGTTCTGCCTCTAGATAGGCAGAGCCCGCTGTCACTCACGCAGCTGGGTGGATCTCGACAGTAATGTCGGGATCTGTCCTGGCTGCGGCGGTCTCAGTATACCTCGAGCTGTAGCTCGCAATATACTGAGCTTTGGGTCACGGGAGGATGCTAGTATATGTCCTCCCGTTACCCTTAGGAGAACTAGGAGGAAAAACACTTACCCCATAGTTCTCCTTTAAGAACGTTCCAAACATCCTGGAGAACACATTCACTTACATAGTGTGGGGTTCATTAAACAATAAGGATCCAGTGCCTCTTTCTTTCTAAACCTGCATTAGGACTGGCAGCCTCGCTGGCCAGTAGGAATGTGCAGGAAGGGTTAGGCACGTTTCAGTACTTTTACAAGTTAGAACAGCCTGGCATTCAACTTTATCAGGGGGGTCGGAGAGTTTGCTGCAGGTATGTGCAGGCACATCTACGCCTGATTTAGGTTTTAAAGTGAAACTAAACTCAGGAGTTAAATCTTAAAAATACATTCAAGTACCTTAACTACTCGTATTAACAAAAATGTATCTTATTTGTGTATCACTCGGCTGTAGATCCTCAAAATTATCTCTGAATTGGTGCTGACGCTGTCCTTCCTTCTGGAGGGTGGCTACTTTTGATGCCCGTGGTCCATGTGTGTGTTGTAAAGTAGCCACCGCTCCACGCTCGCTCCAATGATGGACTACAATCTCAATACAAATTAGTAAACTAAACAGGAGATTGTAGTCTATTACGGGAGTGAGCTTGGAGCGGTGGCTACTTTACAACACACACAGGGACCATGGGGAACAAAAGTAGCCACCCTCCAGAAGGGAGGACAGTGTCAGCACCAATTCAGAGATGATTTGACGATCTACAGCCGAGTGATACACAATTAAGATACATTATTGTTAATAGTTAAGGTACCTGAATGCATTTTTAAAATGTAACTCATGAGTTTAGTGTCACTTTAAGTGTTCAGTTAGCAAATGCTAGTCTGAAAAGCAGTTTGGCCACCAAACCTTTACAAAGAATTTGCAATGTTTGCAGCTTAGAACAGCTTTAAAACTTTTAAAGTTACTGTGTTGCTGGTTTTAAAACCTGAAATAAATGGCTCACTGGTAATTGATGGTTACCTGTCCCCCTGCCTGTGCAGCCAAACTCTGCTGGGTTCAAGAAAGGAGCTTGCTGAAAGGTCTTCAGCAGAACATTTCCTGATGTGGTAGATGCCTGGTCTCCTCCAGCTGTGGGTTGTGGTTCCTTCGCTGGCCCCAGTATTCTGTAGTGACATAGGGGTCACCGCAGGAAACCACAGGGTGCAGCCGCAGATGCCAACATGTGACACTAAGATGAGCTTTTATAAATAACAAACAAGAGAGTAACAGAAACAAGTGGGAGGAAAACAATCCCCTAACAGCAGCAGAGGCCCATGGACAAAAATACACATATTTCCTCAAATATTCCTGTTTTCATATGTTAGTTTGTAGAGAGGGAGAGCAAAGTTAAAGCAGAACTCCGGGGAAATGTTTTATTAACCCTTGCAGTGGGGGACTGGCGGAACTACCAGGGCCGCAGCAGTCGCAATTGCGACCAGGCCCTGGGGGGGGGGGGGTCTTGTAGTGGAATTCTGTAGTGCTGACTATCATAATGTATTGCTGGGACTTGTAGTCACGCATAGCTTGTGCATTCTACATTGCTGTATGATGATTATACAGCAATGCAGAATAGCACCAACTATGTAGGACTACAAGTCCCAGCAATGCATTATATTTTTAATTAGGGATACACCAGTGCCAATACTGGGCATTTTCACGAGCTACTAAACGCAGATACAGGTGTTCTGTCGAAATTTGCCGACCTCAGCATCTGCGCTTGTGCACAGACCAATATTATCGAGGAAACCTGGATTTATTCACAAAGTATTTTGTTTAAATTGTTAATTGTGACCGTTAATAATATTCCATCCATCATTTCCTGCCACCCATCATTCACTGCCACGGATGGGATATTATTAACAGTCACAATTAACCATTACAAACGAATACTTTGTAAATAAATTCCGGTTTTCTCGGTAATCCCATCTGTACGTAAACGCAAATACTGGGTCGGCGTTCTCGACAGAACACCGCACTAAAATTTTAAACAGAGTGCTTGCTGGGGACCTCGGCAACCTTCCTGTTAACCATGCGGTGCCATGGCGGTTGGAGGGGGCCTTTATGGTTTCTTGCACCGGGGCCCTGAAGGTTCTACTTACACCTCTGCAGTGGGGTTACCCTGGCACTGCAAGGGTTAAGTGCTTGTGTCTAGGTGCTAAAAAAACAAAACAGGCAGCTTATCTGCACCTTTATCCCACCCAAAAAAAAAGCTAAAATATGAGCCGTTCAGGCTTTTACACATGCATCATGGCCGCTGCAAATTCTAAACAGTATGACGCGTTCTGCAGGCGGTGCCACTTGTCGAACACAACCATTGCAATGTAATGGGACCGTGCCGCAACCACATGCATGCGTTATTTATTTCTAGCACAGCATGGTGCAATGCAGTTGCATCAGCTGTGGCTGATACAGCTTAATGAAATATGACTTTGGGACGTTTCAGTAAAGTTCTGAAAAAAGTTATGCGGCACAGTGTTTTCTAGCGCATAGACACCGCAGCCTTCACAGCGCACACCAGCCGCGGTATTCTAATGCAGTGTCTGGTGTGAATGGGCCCTCAAAGGTCCCACTGGTAGAAATATATATGTATTTCTGGAAAGGTCAAAAGTGATTTTAAAGAGGAACTTCATCCTCCCACTGAAATGCCATCTTAAATGTACACACTGTTGTATGGCTACACATGTGATTTATAGACATTTTCAGTTTGTATATATACACTAATACAATCTGGTCAGACCCAGCTCTCAGTGGGTCCTCTGTAATATATAGGTAACGCTTCATGAGAGCTCTGACATGTGTATACAGGACAGTGACAACCCCTTCAGTGTCCCAGGATTTACTCCGTGCTGACGTCACACGGACACGTTTTACATAGGGCGGGAACAAAAACGGGGGCGGGTATTTCTTCGGCGTCAGCCAATGAGAAGCGGATTATCCGGTCTGGTGGTGTTGCTCGGAGAGACCGTGGAGGGTCGCAGACCGCAGGCCGTCGTGCCCGGTGAATGTGGCGCCCTGTGGTCCTGAGCTGGAGACCACTGGCCCTGCTGCCTGAGGACAAGAAGGAGGCGGCGAGATGGCGGACGGGGGGCCCTGGCATCCTCTTGTCGGTGCAGTGAACGTGTCCCGGGCTGAGGCGAAGCGGCTGCTGTGCCCCGATGGAAGCGGGTGGATCTGGCAGCTGCTGGAGCAGTGTGTGGAGAATGGATGGGAGTATTGGAGTGTCATCATCGGACTCTTGTCTATTGGCTGCTTCCTCTTCGCCGCATTACCGTAATTATCTTACGTGTCCTGTGTCTGGCTGTGTACCCCGGCCTCCTCCGCACTGGTCCTCTCTTGTTATTGGGACTACAAGTACAAGAATGCTTTTCGGGGAAAGCTGTGAACAAATGGGCCCACGGAAAGGTTTCTTCCATCCAGAAATGGCCCCTGTTTTCACTGTATTGGTTTAAAGCTTAACTCTAGGCACAAATACTTCATTGAAAATATTTTCCTCATTATTAAATACTCATTGTGGCCTCCAAAATCTAGCTATTACCTTGTAGAGTAGCAGTGACATCATCACTCTGCTGTACATAGTGTCAGCAGAGCTGCAGGAGGGGCACAGCAGGCTTCACCCACTACAGCAGGGGTGGGCAACTCTGGTACTCCAGCTGTTGTGGAACTACAATGTTGGGGCTGCACATTATGGCTCACTTAGCAAAGCGATGTCATGTCTACGCTCACCTCGGTCACTGGTGCTTCCATCTTCCCCTCGTTGTCTTCCAGGTCCGGAGTCTTCAGTCATCTTGATTGGCTGGGATGATGTAGCTCCTGCGTTTTTCACACAGGAGCTACTTTGCCCCAGCACATAATTGTGCTGAGACTACACTGAGCTGTTCATGTGCGATATAGTGTACACAAAATGGTAAAGATTGTTGCCCAGCCAGGAGAAGGATGTATGTCAGGAGACACCTACACAGCCTGTTAGTATTTGTTACCAATAAATATATAATGTTGGGGGGGGTTTACATCATTTTCAGGCCTAAAATGTGGAATATAACATGGGTGCAAAAATTGAAAAAAGGGCCTCAGTCATGAAGGGGTTAACATCCGCTTCATGTTCACATCTTCCCATGTTATACTTGCTAGAAGAATTTCCAATGGCTTTATAGTGTGTGTGTGTGTGTGTGTGTGTAAAGGCAAAGCTTTTTTTTTAAGTTTTGGACAGAATAGGGAAGGGTTAAAACCCTTGACAGGTTGTGTTTTTTTGCTACCCATGTGCTCTTCGGGAATTTTTAACTTCACTTCCTGTCCCAGAGACCCAAAACAAAGTTAGATCTCCCCAAGTGAGGGGAATTCCTCTCCTAGGGTAGGAGCACACAAGTGTCATTAAATGCTTCTCTTTGTTCTGGATCTTGCTGTCAGAAAGTAACATGACCTTTCCATTCTCACACCTTTTGTTTGTCAGTTCTTATGTCATTCATTAACATGAAACTATTTATTTTCTCCTTTCTTCAGCCAGCTCTATGTTGCATACAAGAATGGAAAAGTTGACCAAGCGCTTTCCCTGGGCTTTCTGTTATGTTGGTTGGGAGGGGACTTTACAAACTTTGTAGGCTGCTATCTGACCAAACAACTGCCGATACAGGTAATCAGTTATAAAAGAAACCTTCTTTTTTCTTGTTGAGAAATATTAGGTTCTTCAGTAAGAGTTAAATTTTTGGCATTTTTATGGATGTTTCATTTTGACTTCATTGTATAGCTTTCTTAAAATAACCTTTTAATGTTTATTGAACAATTATTTTTTTGCCTTCTTTAAATGAATGCTTTTTCTAAAACTGTATATGTACACCCTTTGTGTTACAAACAAACACTTAATTCATACAAACGATTCAAAGCGAGCTCTGGGTGCAGTTGAGAAGCTTCCAGCTTCTGCCTGCTGTCTGTCACAAGGAAATTGTGACTTTAATGTCCCTCTAAGTTTTTATTGCTGTCCTGTTCTTGTTCGAGAATTTAAGAGTGAAATAAAATCACGAATTTTGAGTTGTCACCAGAAGAGGAATAAAGGTGGAATTTTCCAATGGAGTCATTACTTCTGGTGACCCTTGTGTCAGCCAGGGATTTCCCTGACTATGGAGGTGTTTCCACTCCTTGTTGTGGCTCTGAGACAGGAAGGGAAATCTCCCCAATCTACCAATGGGACAGATAACTGGTTGCAACCCTTCCTTACTCTATTCAAAGAGTTCAAAAATGTTGGCTTCTAGTTCTACCTTCATGTAAATTGTAAAAGCATGATTTGAAAAACATTCCCCCAAACCCCCCCCCCCCCCCCCCCCCCCTTCCAAATTCTATTTTGCATTAGCCAAGTTTCCATCAAATCTAAATCCAAAATGTTACATAGCCATTGGTTAAAAGTCGGACTGCAATATTTCTTGATTCTATTTTTTTTAATTTAATTCTTTACAGGTTGTCACTGCCATTTTTTATGTGAATATGGATCTCATTATGATTTCGCAGTTTGCATACTACAAATTAAAGAACAAAAGCATGAAAGGTAACATTTCTGCTGCATTTCTGGTTCATTTGTATTTCTACACTTGTTTGTCAATCCTGTATTTAAAATGCTCACTTCCAGCATATCGCGCTACGCCTGTCTTAGTTTATATGAGCAACAAAGCACATGTGCCTTCTTGAGGAGGGGGACCTTGCAGGTGCTGCAGGATCTCAATCCATGGCGGTGTATTGTGTTACCAATGGTTTGTTTGGTGACTGTGGTCCCAACTGCCTTGAGATCATTCACAGGCTCCTCCTGTATAGTTTGGGGCTATAATTGATGGTTATTTTGTATTCCTTCCATTTGCGAATAATCACTCCAACAGTTGTTCCTTCTCACCAAGCTTCTTACTGATAGTCTTGTAGCCCATTCTAGCCTTGTGCAGGTCTACAATCTTGTCCCTAACGTCCTTTTGACAGCTCTTTTGCCTATGGTAGTGAAGTTGGAATGGAAGAAAGATTCTGTGGACACGTGCCTTTTTATATACATAACCAAGTTGTCGTTAGGAGCACCTTCTTAAATTGGCACAACTAAGATACAACATAAGATAGATCGATAGAACATTATCTATCTCTGCCCCCAATGTCAGCTTATGCTTAGAGATATATAATGTTTACGTCATGCAAAAGCTGTCAGAATTGCAGTTTTTGTGTTACCAGAGCTGCAGCACAAAGGACATGTTAACCACTTTGGGACCAGGCTTTAGTGCCTAATGATGAATGCCACTCCAATCACCGGGGATCCTACCAGTCATTAAGGAGTCCTTAAAAATGAGGATTAATGGTCTAGTTATAACCTGGCTTAATTCCTTAAGTACCTTGGGGTGCAGGTTATCCGGACCCACTGCTTTGTTTGCATTGAGCATTTTAAGTCTTTGTTGTATCCCGGTTTCTGTCAACCACTGGGGTATATTTTGAGTTAAACTGGGAGTTTTATCATGTGTGTCAAACCCGTTTCCCTCCTGAATGTTAACAGTAAGGCATCTTTTGCTACAGGTAAAGAACAAAAAATTACATGATGTCCCCTTTAATATAGTAAAGTGGACCTAAACTGCGACTAAGCTGTCATCACTTGACAGCTTATAAGCATGTTCCATGACTCTTTGATTATGGGTGACATGACCTGCAGCAATTCTAATTAAGTGACTTTCACAGATGACTCTACCAATGTTGCCAACCCAGTCAATGTCCCCGGCAGTGCCCAAAATCTGAACACCTCCTTTGAATGTGCTGTTTAAGGGGCACTTTGTTAAAAGGGTGAAATATTTGTTGGGGGGGTTAAGGAATGGGGGGGTGGTGGTGGGTGGATCACCTGTTGCCATTACACATTTTTTACTTTTACATATTTGTTTAAACCTTTTATTTTGCAGGTAGTGGAAGCCTAAAAGGAATGTGCATAGCTTGGGTCCTCATATGCATCTTCTTGTCTATAATACTCCCAAGTCAGCTGCTTCTGAGGAACTTTGAAAAGGCTGCTGACCTAGAAGTAGATCAGGTAGGTTACTACGCAAAGACTAAATGCGGTACTGTTAAAGTATATTTCCACCTTGTTAAAACACATACAACTAAATACTCAAGTAAAAAAACAAAACATTAATCCCTTCACGACCCATGACAGAATAATTTAGTCATGGATCCTCAAGGGATTAAACGGACTCCTTCGGGACTCTGTTCTTACTCGTAGGGCCGACTTTACAGTAGAAGCATTCTGGCTCTCAGCTGTTGCCAGATCACTTCTACAATTCGGTAAAGTGGCTGCCCGACACCCGTGCTGTGTTTCCCGGGCTCAGCTTCCCCTCCTACGGGCCCGGGTGTTGGCAGGAAGCTGGAGAGGAGAGTGGTGAATGTCCGTTCACCACTCTTTTCCCCGTTCTATGGGACCGGGAGCGGCGTGTATTGCATCACTGCTCCTGAAGCCCAGCAATAAGCTATTAAAGTGCGATCTGCACTTCAATGTCTTATTAAGAGTGTAAAGGTGATACTAGGGGTCCCTGGGACCCCCAGTATCGCCTTAAAGAGTACCTGTCACCACCAATATGCTATCATCACATGGGATGGGGGTGGGGGGGTGGCTTGTGATACCAACTAAAGTAAAGTTTAAAAAACATAAAATAGAATATGTAACAATAATAAAACATTTTTTTTTTTTAAAGTCCCCCTGCCCCCACGCAAGCATGCATGTCAACACGTAAACTTGCGTCGGGTGCACCTACGTATGGAAACGATTGAGCTAGACATGCTGAGTATCACCGCACACGCCAGAGTGAGAGCAACAATTCTAGGGCCAGTATTTATGCGTATCTCTAAACTAATGACTTGTAGGAGCTTTTAAAGCATCATGTATGGACTTTTTGGGATACTAAATTTTGTCGCATTTTCACATACACGCACAATTTTTAACCTGGGCATGTTGGGTATCTATTTACTCGTTGTAACCTCATCTTTTATATTTGTTACAAAACAAGTGTTTTATGTAGTGTTTTGGGGCGCTAAATTTAACTGAAGTGCATTTTTCACAACATGTTTGGGTTTGATAATAAGTTGCGCTAATGTCATGCAACATAAAAATTTGCAACTGCCGCCATTTTATTCTACAGGGTCTTGACTTTTCAGAAAATATATAATGTTTGGGGGTTTTAAGTAATTTTCAGGCCTAAAATGTGGATTATAACATGTAAACAAAAAATTCAAAAAAGGCCTTTGTCCTTAAGGGGTTAACAATCTCCCTAGTCCGGTGATTTTTATGAAGTCCACAAGTATTGCACATATCATAACCAATCTTTTTGGTCATGATTTTTGTAATAGATGGTTGTACTTTGGGAAATCACTTCTTGTTGAGAGATCTATGTAGTGGGCATATTTGTAAAGAATCCACCGCTCCACGCTAGCTCCTGTGATGGACTACAATCTCAATACAAATTAGTAAACTAAACGTGAGATTGTAGTCCATCAAACTTTTCAAGCAAAATGACATTTGACAGAACACTGCACCATAATTCTACAGAAAAGCAAATATGTATGTTTAAAGAAATAAAATTAAATTTAGCGCCCTGTGTTTTTTTTATGTGTGTGTGTTCGAAATATTTCTTTAAACATACATATTTGCTTTTCTGTAGAATTATGGTGCAGTGTTCTGTCAAATGTCATTTTGCTTGAAAAGTTTGATGGACTACAATCTCACGTTTAGTTTACTAATTTGTATTGAGATTGTAGTCCATCACAGGAGCTAGCGTGGAGCGGTGGATTCTTTACAATACACACAGGGGGAACAAAAGTGACTACGACCAAGGCCCAGTTTGGGGGGTTGAAACATGTAAGCGTTTGTTTGCGGCTATTTATGCCTTTTTGCAAATAAAGTACTGGATGGACGGATCCCTTTGCGAGTGCCAGATTTTTACCTAATGCTTAGTGAAGGTTCTGGCGGAAGCTTTACCAGGCACCGAGGTTCAAGCAGTAGGATTGGCGAAAGCGGTTAGAGCTGCTCAATGTTTCTAAACTGCAACAAAAGTAGCCACCCTCCAGAAGGACAGTGTCTGCTTGAATTCAGAGACAATTTGAGGATCTACAGTACATTAAAGGCCAGTTCACACCAGCCAGAGTGCGTTCTGGCCCGATTGGTGCCGGAACGCACTTGATCGCATTCCAGCTGGCTCACTTTGTGTTGGGGCAGGAGGGGGCTGCAGTGCCATTGAAGTCAATGGCACTGCAGCCACGGCCACAGTGCGATCGCCTGCAACGGAACGCGTGGCACATCAGTGCTTGCATTCTGGTCTGGTGCAGTCAGAAAAAATGGTGCACGCAGCATTTTTCCTGACTGGACCGGAAAGCAAGCACTGATGTGCCATGCATTCGGGTGCGGGCGATCAAACCGGGGGGGGGGGGGAAGCGGGGGGGGGGGGGGGGTGCATGCCTGGGTTGCCATTGACCTTAATGCACCGCCACGCCCCCTCCTGCCCCACAACGAAGTGAGCCAATCGGGCCGGAACGCACTGTGGCTGGTGTGAATTAGCCCTTAAGGTCCAGTATTATCAACAGGGTAATTGAATGCATTTTTTAAAATTTAACTCCTGAGGTTGTTACTTTAAAATCTCTCGGAGCTATTACAGTTTTGCTCCTGACAATGTCTTCATCTTTTCAGAAGGATGGAGTCATCTTTGTTTGGGCATCATTCATTATCTGCATCTACTTCCTGAGCTGAGTTGCTTGAGCACAGATGACAGTTGTGTAAATCCTGGTACATGCACGGTTCATGGCTGTGTTCACCATTTTCTGACACAGATCACAGCAAACTGACATCATCTCAGTCCAGGAAAAGTTAGACAGGAGCTCAAGAAATGCATTGTAATTTAAAAGAAAAAAAACAGCTCTTTACTGTTCTGTGTTTTGAAGTCAAGAATTAGTTTATACAGACTTGTGAAGTTACTAAAAGGCCCTCTTTAATGAAAATATTATTGTCAATTTATTCTAGAAATCACTTGGCATTACAGAAATGTCCGGTTTCATTTGTGGATATGTTTCTTCAGTGTTTTATTTGGGTTCCCGCTTTCCCCAACTCCATAAAAATGTAAGTACCTGTTAAATCATGACGTTGTTACTCATAATGGCTGGATTGTAGGTTCTGGAAATTCTTGTAATACTGTCATTCTTTCATTGCCAAGGGATGTGAGTTTACAGACTCTTTATTTTTATTCCACAGTTCCAGAGGAAATCTACAGAGGGAACTTCTTATATGTTATTTGCATTGGCAATGCTTGGAAACTTCACATATGGGTTAAGTCTTGTTTTGAAGTTGCCTGCTATTGGACACAATAAGAACCAATATATTCTACACCATTTGCCCTGGCTGATCGGCAGCTTTGGTGTTCTTGTCCTGGACTTTTTTGTATCCTTTTTTTGTGTGTACTATGCGTTGCATATATATTGCCTATATAGCTGTACTACATACTGTACTTCTACCACTTTGTGAATAAATTTTTTTTTAGGTGACTCTGATGCTTTCTTTTAGCAGTATCAGAAAAATATTTTTATTTCCCAGGATATTTATTGTATGTCCTTCTCCCATTTTATTTTATTTAAGGGTTCATTCTTTCTGCTGGGGTATGTACCTGTACCCCTACAACATGGGTACCCTTAGAAACAAGATCACACAGGGACTTGTACACACGCATGCACATGCAGAATCACATACATACACGCAGTGGGTTGAGCTTGATGGACCCGTGTCTTTATTCAACCTCAAATACTATAACTATGTAACTATGCCTTGTAAATGGTCTGTGGTGCCCTGTAATGAAGTGTAAGGTTGTAAAGTCTGCTGAAGGGCTTATCTAAATAAAAAAAAAATCTGCATCTTTTAACACTTTCATGACCAGAACAAACTTGGAACAAATGTAGCAGCATCAGTTATAATGTATGTAAACCCTAACAACGAACTTCTCAGATTAGTTTTTTTTGGCATGTTAAATACACCATTGAAAGTGTTTAATTATCTCCATTCACATCTATTCCAATGCGATTTTAGCATTTAAAAAACAAAGTATAGCTAAAGGCTAAACTTCCTTTTATTTTTTATTTTTTTTTGATTGGCTAGAGCAGTGAGGGGTCAGAACAGGGTGGAAAAATTAATTTGAAATTCAGAAGCCAGTCTTTCTAATCCCGGAGTCAGCTTCAAAATGTATGCATTCCAGAATCCTGTTGCACTCCTCAAGGGATATCCCTGTCAGTGTGGCTACTCGAAGTGACCGCGGATGGCGCCGCCAATACTGAAACTTGTTAAAGGAGACCCATGGGGTTAAGGCTTTTCCCCATAGTTCTCCTTAGGGTAACAGGAGGACACAAACTAGCATCCTCCCGTCACCCTCGGCTCAGTATACCGTGAGCTGTAGCTCGTGCAGTATTTTTTCTGTCGTAATCTGAACGGACTGCGCACGTGAGAACTGTAGCCCATAAAACGCATAGGGATACATTGGGATGCATTTTTAGTGCAGGAGCGTATGGATCAGGTCAGCACAGAAAACTGACGTCGTGTGAACAGGCCCGTATGGTCAACTGCAGGTTAACACACTTGTGAAATTGCTCACAAGATACATTGGATGCATCTGAAAGCTTTGTTGCATTTTTGTTTAGTCAAACTTTGGTACAGGTGTTTTTTTTTTTTTTTTATGTTTTCTCTTGTATGGATGTTTTTATATAGCAGTAATTTCCTCAACAACAAACAGATGACGGCACAGTTCATTGTATATCGAAAGCACAAGACAATGCAATCCAACCTACTGGCCCTGGAAGTAGAGCCTTTGCTTGTAGATGAAGAGGAAACCTGATGTCTCTCACATACTTATTAGATTTTCATCTATTGTTTTACACTTTTTTTTTTTCCTGTATGGATAAATGTTTAATTTGTATCAGGTTTTACGTATCATGCCAGAATCCCTGTACTATAGGGGTGCCATCTTCAAAAGTGTATATATTTTATGTATCATTTTTTAAATTTCAATTTGGCAGGGATGTAAATACTCAAGATTCCTTCAGTAGAATATATGGGCCAGTGTATATATTTTAATTTATGTTAACAATATTGTTTAGAAGTATACAGTTGGTAGTTGTAAAAATGCAGTTTTGCACAATGTATCCATTTATTTTATTTGACCAAGATGTTCTAATTTTTGTTGAATCTGCAGGTGCGTATGGTTGGTTGCACCAGATCCTATGTAGGGGCTTCATAGCAAAGGGGGTGAATACATATGCACGCACCACTTTTACGGGTTTTTTTTTTAAACTTTGTTTTGAACAAGTTATTTTCTTGATTTCTCCACCATTTTGGACTATTTTGTGTATGCCCATTACATGTAATCCAAATAAAAATCAATTTTAATTCCAGGTGGTAATGCAACAAATTAGGAAAAATACCAAGGGGGGGGTGAATACTTTTGCATGCCACTGTAACTGTTTACACTGTCTTCAACTCAAGTAGAAGGACCAAACTGTTTGCATCGTTTAAACTTTTTTTTTTTTTTTTTTTTTTTTTTTTTTTCCGAAGTTGGAGGAAATTTTTTTTTTTTTTAATGGTCACAAATGTTTTTGTTGTTTTAATTTTTTTTTTTTTTTTTTTTTTTTTTTTTTTATTCCGACACTGGAGGTAAATATTGTCAGTATCTAGCTGTATGCCTTTGGTGAATGTTATTTTTGATAATCTAAAGATAAAACCTTTTATAAGGTTATTTGGCCACTTGCTCGGTTATGCCCTCATTTGATTGAAATGGATACCAAAAGCTTGAATTGTGTGTGCATTGGGTTAGATGAGCAAGTGATTATAACTGCCACACTTCGTTACATGGATATTGTGATAGTGAATGTTTATCCAGTTGTCGCTATGATTGAAAAAGCCTTTATTTAAAACCGCATTATACAGTGAACCAGTCAGAATTTACATTACCCTGAAAAGTAATCTCTGATTTCCATTACGAAGGCCTCTTTCACACTATCCAATCAGAAGGGGATTCATGCACAGATCCCCTCCTGTCCGGATCGGATGTCACTGCGGTTTCCATTCAGTTTTTTTATGTTGGAGGAAAAAACTGAAAAGACCAGACCCCCATACTGGTCTATGGGGAATTGAATGTAAACGGACTTGTGTGCATTTACATCAAACTACCCCAGATTCGGCACGATCAAGTCCGGCTTAACGGAACACTATTTGTTTTTCCGGCCGTGGCTGGAGCTATAAACGGACACCTGTCTTTCGATCCGGCTGCCCATAGACTTATATTGGGCATCCGATCTGCTTGAAAAACTGACAGGTGGACCTGATTTTTGGATTGCCTGTCCGAAAGGGGCCTTACTGTAACAAAGTGTTTGCATGTAAAGTTCTACCTAACCATATTCATTTCTAAGTGGGTGTTTTATAGGTAAGAGTATTTTTGGACATTTATCAATGTTTGTTTTTTGGGAGTGCTATGAATACGTTTTTAAACAGGCTTACATTGCAAGCCCTTAAGAGTTCCAAACCTTGTTTATCCAGTAAGTGTAGTAGAACATACAATTTTTATACATATGTTTTATTTTACATTGTAAAGGGCCAGCGTAAAAAGAAATTGCTCTGTGTACATTTGTAAGTAAACATTCTAGATCTGGTGTTTTATGTAATGCTATTTATTCTGTTCACCTGAAAACCTGTTTTTGTCCTGGCAGCTCCGAAATGTTTGAGCAGGCTTAACCACTTATATTTGCCTACAGTTGTTTTATGTTGATGACGTCAGGTCTTTCTGTAGAATAGCAGGTGAATTGTTTGATATATGAACAGAAGAAAAGGCTGTTTATCTACTTGATATTAACGCGAACCTTGTATCTAAAGTTTAGTCGACTTTACTCCTCAAGCAGATATTTGGAGATGACCGAAGGGGTATAGTGAGTGTGTACAGTTAGACTTGCCATAGATGGTCGGAAATATCCTCCTATTCCTGCTGAAGCAGCTAAAATGGGAGCCGTGAGTGGCCCTTTGGGTACCGCCTAAATTGACAACAGTTTATTTAAAAAAAGGACAGAGCCAAGTGTAAATTTAATCAGCCAAATATTGATTGCATCCCATCAGATGAAGTCACTGTTAAGCAGCGCCACTGTATTCAGGCAACTGCCACGGCTGCTGAGTACAATAGCTTGTAGTGAAGATTCCTCCATCTGCAATGTTTAGCATGGAGGGCTGGACCTACTGATAAGAAAGCAATTGATTAGGTATAAACTAAAAGTGCTTTTTTGGCAGCTCTTTGTCAATTTGGGTATCCCTGGGGGCCCAGGAGTAATCCCAGTATTATATACGTATATTACAGGAATCCAGGCTGTCAGACTGGCTCCCTGCAAACCTTGCTTTATACCTCTTGGTGTCCAGTGTACCCAAATAGCTGTCACCACATAATCTCTGATAAAGGGGATTTGTCAGCCCCTGAAACATGTTGGCTGTGTCTTCAGACCTGTTGTCAAGACAAACAAACTTTTCCTGGACTTGATAAGAACCTGTGGTGCTCATCCTTTCTATGTACTGTAGTTTTCATTTTAAAGGTATTTACACTATGGAGAATATTTTGTGTAACCATTATTAAGGCCTGCTTATACAGTCTAAACTGTGCACTAAAGCTTAAATCAAAATTGCAGCTTTATTACTGAGCACTCCATGTAAAATATGCTTGTAAGCACACCTCTGTATGTTGGTAAGATGTGCTTTCTATTTAAAGTGACGCTAAACTCAGGAGTTACATTTTTAAAGATTTATTAAAGTATCCTAACTATTAATAAAAATGTAGTTTCTAATGTCTCTGTGTGTGTTGTGAAGTAACCACCACTCCAAGCTCGCTCCCGTGATGGACTACAATCTCACGTTTAGTTTACTAATTTGTATTGGGATTGTAGTCCATCACGGGAGCGGTGGCTACTTTACAGGCCTGTTCACACGACGTCCGTTTTCTGTGCTGACCGGATCTGTACGCTGCTGCACTCAAAATGTATCCCTATGTGTTTTATTGGGTACAGTTCTCACGTGCGCAGTCCCTTCAGGTTACGACAGAAAAATACTGCATGTCACATTTTGTATGGTCAGGAAACCAACTGCACTGCAGCTAACATACTAACAGCCCCACTCCAGCTGGAACGCATCAAAAACGCACTGCATCAGTCTGCAGATCCGCACCTGATCAGGACCTGATCTCATGTGAACAGGCCCTACAACACACACAGGGACCATGGGGAACAAAAGTAGCTCCCCTCCAGAAGGAAGGACATTGTCCGTATGAATTCAGAGATGATTGGAGGATCTACAGACGAGTGATACACACACATAGGATAGATTGTTGTTAAAGGAGAACTATGCTTTTCACTCCCCTCATAGTTCTGGCTGACCTGTGACAAAGACTGTCACAGGTTGGCTCAGGAGATCAAGAGGTGAGCGAACACATACCGGCATTCGCTCACCTCTCGATCCTGTCACAGCTCTCTGCCGTCACAGGGGAGTGGCTGGATTCTCAGCTGTGGCGTCTCAGTATACTGAGCTTAGGGTGACGGGAGAATGGTAGTTTGTGTTCTCCCGTTTATCCTAAGGAGAGCTATGGGGAAAAGCCTTAACCTCATAGTTCTCCTTTTTAATAGTTAGATGCGAGACCCCATCGGCAGTGATTTCAGCCAAGAGTGTAGATTTGTTCAAGAAACGTTTGGACAATTTCTTGAGGGACCGTAATATCCGGGATACCAGTATCCCTAAGAATGAGATGATGCGTGGACCTATATGGGTTGGACTCGATGGACGTATGTCTTTATTCAACCCCAAATACTATGTAATAGTTGAGGTACTTCAATATATTTTTAAGGTTTAACTCCCGAGTTTGTATCACTTTAAATAATGGAAAAAAACCTTGCTGTGTGTGTTATGCACTTTGCATTGCAGGTCACTGCTCGTATTAAGACGTGAAAATGCATGTAATGTGCATTGACACACTTTCACGGGCGTTGACATGTTACTTCACATGCATTTTTGTGGACTTCGATGGTAGCACATCTTGCCAAAATGCACATGTGGTTCCAGTTTATTTTTGCCTTAGTTCGTGGTAAGCAATAGCAAGTCACCAAAGGCCAACCCAAGAGTATAGTGTCTAAACTGTCAAGATGCAGTACCATGTTTTGACATGTCTTTGGAGTGGGGTTTAGAATATGAATGGAATGGGTCACAAACAGAGGTACAAATGTCTTTTTAAAGCAAAAAAAAATAATGAAAAACCTGCAAAGGAAGCTGCCATTTGGGGTCTTACACCCTACCTCTGCTTTCAGGGCTGTGAAGATGAACTTCTAGCTTTACTGCAAGTGACATCCTGCCCAGGGATCTAGCTTGCCTAGCCCCACAGTTAGAATGGCAGCATTTGCTTATGTTACTGTGCAACAAATTTTTCCTTTTAAAGGAATGACTGTTGTTTTTGTATATGTTTTCTTTATGTTCAGGACCAAATATATTTGGTAAATATCAAATATTTCTTAGATACTTCAAATGTATCACTCTCCTTCCTCTGCCTGCTCCTGTAGACCATATGGATATTTTAGTTTTGACAGAAATAGTAAACAAGTGAAAAGGTACTGCTGGGCTTTCCTATAAAAATGTCCAGCATCCTCCAACTAAAGATTTTGGAAGCACCCTGTATAGCCTTGTACCCTGTACACCCTTTTTACAGTTCAATAAAACCATGCTTCATTCCTCCTGAAAAGTGATGAAATGAAGGGCAATAGTCTCATGTATACCTGCATGGTTTTGGTATGTCATAGAATGAAGCAAGAAAGTGTAAACAGAGGATACATTTATTGCTTATTCTACAAAGATATTCTAAAATGGCCTGGACAT